CCTGGGTTAAAAGCTAAAACTGCATTTTGACACATCCAGAAATCAACTGCAAAGGAACGCTCCTTCACATCCCGACAATTCAAGAGCTGGAAGAAGACACGTCTTCCGATATGACACCATTAAACTAACAGGATGTCCGTACAATTTTGCCAGCTTGTAAATCGTGAAGGGACAGTCATGTGACACACACTCACAGCAATATGCCAATACTGCGCGTGTGCCAGGGCTAACTAGACTTTGCTGTGCAAAGCCTACATGTTACTGAACAATCAGCTCATGCCATAACATTGCACGACACTGACCGACGCTACTGGCATTCTACAACTAACTGGCTAAAGCGCGATGCACAATATCACTTATGCGACGAGCAATGCGATCGAAATGTTTTTCTGCAAAATTTTGAATCGCACCTCCGTCGCAGGTCTCATCGCGGAAAGTTGAGCCTAGTTCAACTTCTGCGACAAGCGACGAGCGATGCGCATCACTTTCTACACGGCGGGCGCACATGACAGCTCGCGTACAGTTTTGGACTGTGCATGCCCTGCAACGATGTGCCGTGCATTGTGCATCGAAGACTCTTCGTGCGATTCGAAAAAAGACTTTCGCTCGACGCTCATCGCATCGCAGAATTGATATTGTGCATCGCGCTTTACTGCTCCCTGATACAGACCAGCTGAGGTGGACCGGAAAGTTTGCTGCAGACTTTATGGTACTGGTCAAGTACACACATCTGTAGATGGAGAGTCTAGCTAGGGTGACTAGTGTAGTGTCTGTCTGATCATCATTATTCATCAACAAACAGGTGTACCCGTATTTCATACACTGATCAACACTGTACATCTACTACTGTACAACACATACCTGGGAATATGCTGATGTTGTGCAACGTCTTCCTGCAATCAATCCGAAATGAACTCCAGGACAGTAGAGTTGCTATACCGTAGCCTGGAATTGTACAATGGAGGTCGAAGTCTGTCCATAGAGCATGGGTTCCCGTACAAGTGTACACCCTCCATTCCCATGATGCCCGGTGACTGCAGCATGGCTTGAATGCTATCATCGGTGATCTTGCAGTAATTTAGGCTGATCAATCTCAAGCTTGTGTTCTTCCTCATCATATCCACCAGGGCATGCACTGTGGCATCATCAATCTCATCGTTTGCCATATCCATCCATTCAATACGCGCATGGTGATGGAGAGAGTGTAGGATACTTGCACCAACTTCATCACTCATGCCCGTCTTGGCAAATGAAATGAAGCGCAGCCGGTGGAATCCAGAGAGAAGCTGGCATAGCAGTTTGAAATCAGCATGACTGGGCTGTATATCATGAAACACTGGGTTGTTCTCCAGACCCAATGCACTGACATGTGACTGTGGTGATGTCACTGCATGTAGTACACTCACAACACCAGATAGCTGTATCCTATTCCTGGCCAGACAAAGGTATTTCAGCACTGTGTTGTGAGCAAGGCCAGATGTTGCCAGAGCAGTTGCTCCAGCATCGGTGATGTTACACAGTTGTATGTCCAGTAGGTCTAGGTCAGTGTTGGTTGCAAGGTACTGACCAAGTGATGACATCATGGAGTCATCAACCGTACAATGTAGGCCACCACCAAGTACACTGACCAGTTGATCAATTGACTCAGTCTGTACTGAAGTACCAGTAGCATAGCGGCTGCCAATGTCGATTATGTCACCACCACATTGATTAGACGTAGCCACTTCCTGTAGAAGACGGATTGTTACACCACTGCCGCTCAGATAAACCCTGCATGGTGGTAGTGTTGTGCTGACACTCCCAGTGTGCTCACGACCGCGACGAGCTTGCAGAAAGTCAACCACACTAGCGGCTAGCTCATCAGTCAGTCTGTTGTTGGCAAACAAGAGATGCTGTATGGTATCATGAGAATGGAGACTGGATAGTACACATGACACGTCACTGTTGCAGAGTGAGTTGTCACCCAGCCATAGACTGTCAAGGTGTGGTAACTGTGTGACCAGTGTTGCCAGGTCAGATCCACATCCACTATCCAGTCTACATGATGCCAGTGATAGATGTGTGAGATGGTTACACGGAGCCAAGTTGCTCGCAAATGCTGCCAGACCATCATTGCCAAGTACTGTATAGTGTGCAGTCAGGTACGTTAGACTTGGGTGTTTTACACATCCAGCAAGTGCTGCTCCATCTGCAGATCCACTGGTCAAGTCTGTGTCGCTTATGTCAAGAACCTGGAGGGTACGCCGTGTTGATCTAGACAGTGTGCTTGATATGCTTGCCAATGGTGCTGCAGTGAGATTGGCACCACACAAAGTCACCTTGACGCATTTATCCAGTTGGTCAGACAGCAAAATGACACTGTCACCTGACAGATTACAATGGCTGAGATCCAGAGACTTTACATGGTCCACAAGCTCCAAAACCGTATGTAAAGCCATCACATCAACAACTTCAAGGTGGATTCCCCTAACATCAATTCCATCACCTGCCAGGAGATTACCTGACATAGCATAGCAGCGATGGATGATTGCGTCTACATCCTGATTGGGGTTTCCAGTGCGGTTATGTTGGAGTGAAATGTGGCTTTCCATCAAACATCTCATCAGGAACAGAAGCATCTTCTTTTTGCTCTTGAAAGAGTAATCACTGATGCTGTTTTCAGACTTCAGAGCCAACAAAGATGAATGTAGAAGGTCTGGCTTGAGTGCTCCAAAGACAAATTGCCAGAAGACAAGTGTGTTCAAGTCTGTGCCGACAGTGTTGATGCAGCTGCGGATGATGTCTACGCACGAGTCAGAAGAAATGATGCATCTCGATGCACACCACTCCTGCAGTGTCAAGTGAGTCAAGGACACAGTCTGCGTGGAACTGACGGCCGACGGATGCATACCAGGGTTGAGCAGTAAGCCGAGATCTTGACAAATGGACTGGTGGAGGGTTGACAGCGTGGATGTAAAAGTAGCCATGCCCCTTTGATATGTTGCAAGACACATCGTGTCGAGATTGTGCAATGCCTTGACTAGCTCCACAGCATGGTGATCACACTCCTCATCATTGTTGCTTGTCTCCTTCACATAGCGCTCCAAATGATGTTCTATTACCACGGGGATACTGACAAGATCACCACAACTGAAGTGCCGGCCACCACTGCAGTGACTGATGACGTCATGTGCAAGCCGTACTTGACCAAACTTGCCTCGTCGCTTTTCCAGCTTTGCGACTGAGGAGCGTAAGTAGTGGTCGTAGAAAAGTGTCACACTGGAGGGTAGAGAGTTGTTGATGGGATATTGCTGAATGAGCAGAGCACATAGGAGTGGAGATTGTCGAATGCCTTCCTTCAGCAGACAGTTGTTACGTTGGGAAAGCTCTTCCATACACTTCTTGGCAACCTCCTCTCCGAGCTGTCGTGAGCAGTACGCATAGAGCTGGTCTGCTGAGAAGCCGAGAAGTCGGAAACGTAAGCGGAAATGCGGTATGTGCTGATACGCTTCAGCACACGGTCGGCTAGTTGCGACTACAATAGCAGCAGGTAGTAGTGAATGGTTACTGCTGCTGCTCCTCAATATTACAGCTTGGGCTGCTGATCCTTTGCCAAACCCACCACTGCCAAGTTCGTCGATGCCATCAATAACGATCAATACCTGGTCGGAATGCTCAGAGAGGTAATTGAGCAGTGAAGATTGGTCCTGTGTACTGATGCGCAACTGGTCCAAACCAAGAAATACACACCAATCTGTTGACTGTATACGTGTCAAATCACGGCATGGCACGTAGAAAATGAATTCAATCTTTGCCAGATTCCCAGTCGTTGTCTCCATGATGTCGGCGATGACTCGTTTGCTCAGTGTTGTCTTTCCCTGCCCAGCGTTCCCAATTACGATGCAACTTTCCAGAATGTCTTCGTCAACTGTGTCATCGCCACCACCAACACCAACACCACTTTTGCCACCGCTAGTTACACCTTCATAATAATGGGGATCAGACAAGAGCTGCTTAGCGCTGGACAGAACAAACTGCCTTCCTCCTTCCACTTTGTCACTCGTATCTTGTCTAGCTCCTGGGATAGCAACGCCTGGTGTACGGTCGGATATTGGCTGTCTTCCAGTGACACGGCGAGTTGCAGCTTGTTGCGCACGATACGTCAGCTGCAGAGCATCTTTCTCCGTCAGAGCCTGCATGGGCACGAAGCAATCCTTGACATCGCCGGACAAGCAAGTTAGATCTGAATGATCAGCGGTGGTCTTGCACAGATGTGTATTCACTCTGTGCAGATGTTGTTTAAGACGTTGAATGTGCCCACCATTGTCTGCTCCATCATCATTCACTAACAGTATATTACATGTCACTGTGCCATCGTTAGCTGTGTTGCTGCCTGCACGCATAGTAGCAACATCAACTGTGGTGAAACACAGGACAGGAAAGAGGAAAAAGAACTAATTGTTTGATGGTATATCATTGTACAGATGTACTGTGATGATATGTTGACAAGTATATTCCTAAATGTAGATAGTGTGTGTGTGTGTGTGTGTGTGTGTGTGTGTGTGTGTGTGTGTGTGTGTGTCTGTGTGTGCGAGTGTGTGTGTGTGTGTGTGTGTGTATGTGTGCAACATCACCAGCAGAGGCATCTTCTGACACACTTGAGTCACCGGTTACAAACAATATGTCCTGCGAACGCTGCAGCTTCCACTGCGCCCGCTGCAACCGCTGTGTGCTATCGCGCCAAGGCATGAAATGTCACAAGTGCAGCCGTGGCTCGGCCAGAGCAACCAACACAGACCGTAGCTCCTTCTGTATCGTTTGCAATTGCGGTCGGCGTTTCAGTAGACCACAGGACCTATCCTGTCATCGCCCCTACTGTTCCGAACCTGCTCAACCCCCCATGGGGTCCGCATAGCCAGAATATGGCAGCGCGTCCAAGGTCCAAGGTGTATGTGTGTGTGTGTGTGTGTGTGTGTGTGTGGGTGTGTGTGTGTGTGCCTCTGTGTGTGTGTGTGTGTGTGTGTGTGTGTGTGTGTGTGTGTGTCTGTCTGTGTGTCTGTGTGTTTGTGTGAACCACTGATTGTACCGTTTACATACACACGTACATAAAAACTGAACTGAAAGGCGTCAACAAAAGAAACAAATATGTGAGTAATCTCGATTGACGCTGTGTACAGCTTTGTTGTAAAATAATGCCAGTATCACTGGTCGATACTCCACAGCTGCATTTCACAAAGTCCAACACAATGAACAGGGCAGCGTTTTCTTTAAAAACTGTTCTCCATGTTCTGTGTGGAGCGTTGTCGTGCTCGGACATGCACTGCCGAAAATGTAGCAAAGCTGCTAGATTCTGGTTTGGTGGGAGGTGCGAAAATGTATCTAGGATTCTAGTTATAGATCCAGGTTGAAATATTTTGTGAGCGTCTTATTAATTTTTGTATTGTGTTTCGGCATGTGGGTCTCTTCAGTTCACATGGGTGGGCGAGCGTCCGATCTTGGTGAACCACGGTCTGCCTGGTGGGCTGGAGGGATCATGCTCTTATTTGAATCGGTTTGCCTTGCGGGTGCTGTGGGTTCTGGGTGTTGCTGGTTGTCACATGTGCGTCACAATAAGTGCCTGACGGTTTTGGTTTTTTGCTTTGCGAGCGGATGTACTAAATGTTTCCGGTGTTATTATGGTGTTATCCCTGTGGTTGTCAGGGTGGATACCTGGGGCTATTCAGGGTAGCGCTGTGTGATTTTTTCTTTAATGTCTTTTATGCGTATTGGTAACCGATTTGTTTGAGTGGTTTCTGGTGTCCTCAATGATTATTTGCTCCTGTTTCAGTCGATGTGTTCTTCCTTGCTGTTCTTCCATTCCTTCGTGTGGTTTTCTTTTCTGATTTTTGGCGATGGTTGAGATGTTCTTGTTAGTCCGTGTTTCTTTCTGTGTGCGTCTTTGTCTCTCTGTGAGTTTTCGTAACCCCATCGCGGAGTCCAGTGTGCGCCTACTAGTCACGTGTCCAACAATTGTAGTCATACATGTTGTGTTTTATTCTCGCATTTTAATGCTCATTCACAATCTCATTTCTTTCATCTTTCTCTCTTCTCCGATCTGTCTTCTTCAATTTTTTGGGCTTCATTTGTTTTGCTTTCATCCTCAGGAGAGCATGTCTTTTTTCGGTGGGGGATAGAGTTGTACATGCTGCTGAATCGTGGTACACGCTGCTGAATCGTGGTACACGCTGCTGAATCGTGGTACACGCTGCTGAATCGTGGTACACGCTGCTGAATAGTGGTACATGCTGCTGAATCGTGGTACACGCTGCTGCGCTTTTGCTACAGGTGTGTACTCACATGCATAAAGCCTAGTTCACATTCGACGGAACGCTGACGGTACGGGACGTAACTCCTGTCGGGAAGGCTGGGATGAACTGTAAAATCTTGTACGATTCGTACGACACGACATGCTGCAGTCGTTTTGTCGTTCAGCAGCGAATGACGCCAGTCATAAGGCACGGCCCATGACAGGGTGACCTTTGGACCTATTTTCTTATTTTCGGTATTTCTTTTCAATTATTTCTCCTTGAATGAAGCGGAATCAAGTTCACAATACCAGTATTTCATGAACACCAAAAAAGTAGCATCGAAAGGCGTGCCATTCAAATTATAGCTCCAGGGAATGATAAAACAGTTCGTCTGTCACGCTCCTGAACTATACCAAAGTACCATAAGTGACACCAGACCGTATCTTGCAAAAATTCAACTCAAGTCGTGTTAGCCATTCTGCGAGTTATCATGGGAAGCACAGTGTTCGAAATGCTAAAAATTTCTCAAGTACGAATCGGGAGTAGTCGGCGCACAACGCCGTCTCTTGTTCACACTCAAAATGCAGCTGGTTTGTACACTTGCATCCCTGTCTACGCCCGTCTACGGTATGAAAAGTTGGATCGATCCAACTCTTCCCGTCGCTTCCCGATCTGTACGGCAGTACGGCTGCGTTCCCGTTCCTGGTGTTCACATTGGACGCCGTCAGACTGTCCCGTCGCTTCCCGTCGATCCTTACGTCCCGTCCCGTCGTGCCCCGTCGAATTTATAGTCACCCGCTCTGTACACACTTCTCGCACTGGTCCCCATTGGGACAGCATTGTATCGCTTACCCGTGCATTTTTTGTGCTGATAAGCGCACCACTTTTGCCCTGATGAGTGCACCACTTTCCTGGATAATATTCACTTGTCAGTTGTCATACGTCAGTTGTCCAGACGTCTCCTTGGAGAAAGAACAAAGTATTCTCTCCTACTACACAGCTGGCCTTCTGTTGTGTATCGCGGCCGCAAGAGGGGTACAGTTCGCTTTTAGCTACAGTCCATTCAGAAAAAGATGAGCGCTGGCCCCGGAGAGCACTCGTGCTTGGTGATTTCGCCAGTGACGCGAGATTCGAAACTTGAAAAGGGTCCAAAAAAGGTACCTCAACTGGGGTTTGAACCTCAAATGCACTGTTCTGCAAGTGGAGTGCACGGGTTGGATTTTCATGGTTTTTCCCCAATTCAGTGCTTTGGGGGCAAAACCCGGCCGAAATCCTATTCTTGTTATGGCTTGATTTTTGGAGAAATAGACTTCAAAAACACAATTGGAAGAGGATTCCATGGGGGATTGCAAAAAAATTGAGAAAAAACTCAAAATTTGACCCATTTCTGGCCAAAAGCTAGGATATCATCTTTTTCTGAATGTACTGTAGACTATACTTTGGTGTAATGAGTTTAATTCTGCTGGTAAGGTACAAAACTAAAATTTCCCTTGACAGCAGAAGTTTGATTGATGGCAATGTTTATATTTAAATAGGGGACGTTCAGACTGTAAGTGGTATACCCACACCCCAAAAACCATTCTTGAAACCCTCCCCATTCTGGACATATCAACTACTGCATCACACTGTATGTGGTACATCCACATCCCAAGACCATTCTTGTGACCAACCCCATTCCGGACATATCAATTACCTGTCTCATGAGATGATGTCTTGGCCGTTGGTCGCTGGTCAACGGGCAACAGGAGAAGCATTTCTTGGTACTTTTCATTGTACAGTGGACCCAAGTCATGGATTGCATTGCAGAGCAGTTTATAAGCAAATGTGCCTCCAGGACGAATAAGACTGATGATGTGAGAATTATGCTTTTCCTTTCCTTCGTATTTCTCCAGACGCAGCAATGTCTCAATTTCCGTTATACTTATGAACACGCATTTGCCCTGCACAGCATGTCGAAACCTCGTTGTATCAATTTCACAGATCCAGGGTAAGATATTAGCAATGAACTTGGGATCACCAAATGGTTCATCTAAAGAATACGAAAAGACACAAAACAAATATACAGGAATGTCGAACTAATCGAAACAGCATTGACAGATAATCATTAGTAATTTTGAGACAGTATCCTGGACAACCAATCACCATGACAACTGAGTCATATTTGGACACATCAACATCATGTAGCCTTGTGCACCACCCCCACCCCCCCCCCCCCTTCCTCAGCATAAACAAGCTAAACTGATGTGGGGTGACCTCCCGGTAAAGCTGTGCTTTTAACAGGGAGAGGTGTTTTCTTGCAGGTTTGCAAAGTGAAACATTTGATGGATTTCCTGTATGCAACCGGGATGGCACCCCACAAGTTAGTCAAATGACAAGTCAAGTTGGCAGGAAAGCACCGGCTCAAAGGTCGCAAGGAACAAACATTCTATAATGGCTTTGGTTCTCTGTAAGGCCAGATCAAAGTAGAATCGATATTTCCGGGCAGGACCCATGTGAAGTTAGTGTGGGCAGGAAATTTTTCATTATTAATATTTTTACTATGTATGTACTTGAAGTAGATATAGTGAGATGTATGCATTGCATGCTGAATATTTTTTACACCAGTGAGATGTATGCATTGCATGCTGAATATTTTTTACACCAGTGAGATGTATGCATTGCATGCTGAATATTTTTTACACCAGTGAGATGTATGCATTGCATGCTGAATATTTTTTACACCCGGCAGTGAGATGTATGCATTGCATGCTGAATATTTTTTACACCAGTGAGATGTATGCATTGCATGCTGAATATTTTTTACACCAGTGAGATGTATGCATTGCATGCTGAATATTTTTTACACCAGTGAGATGTATGCATTGCATGCTGAATATTTTTTACACCCGGCAGTGAGATGTATGCATTGCATGCTGAATATTTTTTACACCAGTGAGATGTATGCATTGCATGCTGAATATTTTTTACACCAGTGAGATGTATGCATTGCATGCTGAATATTTTTTACACCAGTGAGATGTATGCATTGCATGCTGAAATTTTTTTACACCAGTGAGATGTATGCATTGCATGCTGAATATTTTTTACACCAGTGAGATGTATGCATTGCATGCTGAATATTTTTTACATCAGTGAGATGTATGCATTGCATGCTGAATATTTTTTACAGCAGTGAGATGTATGCATTACATGCTGAATATTTTTTACAGCAGTGAGATGTATGCATTGCATGCTGAATATTTTTTACACCAGTGAGATGTATGCATTGCATGCTGAATATTTTTTACACCGGTTTCTGGTAGAGGCGACGGTTTCAAATAGGACATAGGTTGCAAACCGGACCGGACTCAATATTCACTTTCTCTCTTGGTATTTTGATTAGAAAACATATATCACAGTGAGACTACGATGTGTTATACTCCGAGCCAAAATTTCATGGCTCTGCGATGACCAGAAGCACCATACCAAGCAGGTGAGATTTTGACACGTTGCTTTGTACTGCGACTTGAGTTTTACGACTTTCGAAAAATCAACTTCTTGTCGCAGGTAAACAGCAGCTCGCCTCTCGCCAATAAAGCACCGCATACCAATCAAAACTAATGAAAACTAATGGAAGCACACACAAGGCTTATTGTTACTCTGTACTGGCCATCGTGGAGCGATAGCAATTACCCAATTTCAGAACTCAGAGTGAATTTGACGTGCACTCTAAAACATGTCCGGTTTGGAGCCACCTCTGATTTGAAGCGAAAAATTGGGCAACTTGGAGGCAGTGGGTCAACACAAAGGAGTGGCTCAGTTCGATTGACTCTGGCCTCAGAGCAAACTTCAACATGCCAGTTTCCTTCCACAAACATATTTCGAGTGAACAATCAACGCTGATGATCGTTTTGGGTCTATACAAATGTGGCTGTCAAGACGTTCCGGTATCGAACCATCGCCTCTACTTTGTACTTAAAGTTATCGTAATTAGAATGGTGTGAGTTGGGAAGTGGGAAGTCAAAATAGCACTAGCTTTCTCAGGGGTGGATCCAGGAGGGGTTCCAGAGGTTCAGGGGAACCCCCTAAAATGTTTAAATCTACTACTGGAAACCATATGCATGCCCATGTATATGTGTCAGCTATTCAGTTTTGACTACACTGGAATTCCCCCCTGTAAAGATCGCTGGATCCACCGCTGTTCCTAACAAACTCCTTCTGTCTACAAAGCTCAAGCTGTAGCTTGGCAATGTAAACAGCCTCTAGCACATCTAGGTGGCAATTGTTGCACGTCCGCGAGTGAATCTCAAGGTGCTCCGGAACATTCTTATGTATGGCATTCAGATGCGCAGGGGACATGATAAAATATGTTGTTATTGCACTTATGTTGTTATTGCACTATGATTTATCTCAGCTGATGGGTTGTGTGAATCACGCTGGTTGGGATCACACTTACTCGAGATAGTGTTAGTCAGCGCTATCTGATCAGCTGAGCTCCTGGTCGGTGTCCTTGCAACTTGACGCTGTCGTAGTTGCTGAGTACTACGACGAGCGCTTGTTGTTGCCTGCACCTTCTTGGGCGCTCCCTTCCTGGAGTTGACACGCTGTACGCTGGTTGAAACGGCGATAGCTGGCTTTGACAGGGCTGTTGCGAGTGCCTTCTGTTGGGGCGGTCTTCCTTTCCTGGGCTTGACGTCGTCGACACCTGGTGAGAATACGAAGAGACACAAACCAAATATACAGGAATGTCTGACCAATCAAAACCCCATTGGCAGATAATCATTAGTAATTTTGGGACAGTATCCTGGACAACCAATCACCATGACAACTGGGTCATGTTTGGACACATCAACATCATGTAGCCTCCTGCATCCAAGGTTTGCAAAGTGAACCATTTGATGGATTTCTTGTATACGGGCGGCTCTGCGGGATGGCAGTCACGATCAGTCAAATGACAAGTCAAGTCGGCAGGAAAACAGCGGCTCAAAGGTTGTAAGCAACAAACATTCCATAATGGGTTTGGTTCTCTACAAGGTATCTGCTTTCTATAGCAAGTCTGTTGTCTATAGGAGTTTTGTTTCTTGTTTGTTCTTGTAATCACATGTAACCAAAGGCTTGTTGCTAAGATACTGCACATTCAATTATGGTGGACTGCTGGTCTGACTTACTGTTAGACATTTTGAAGTACTTTCAGGACGATGATAAACTGGTTATTGTAGCACGGTTCATACACTCTTCACTGCAGTCATGGTCTGTGTAGCTTACTGCATACACACAGACATACACACACACACACATACACAGACACACATACAAACACACACACACACACACACACACACACACTATCCTTTGACCTTTGAGCTTTTGACGCCCATCGCAGGAGGCGATGATGGCAATGCTACAGCAGAAGCCATAGCAACTTGTGCTGGAATTGCACCATTCAACAGCTTGCAAGGCTGAAGAATTGACCGCCACTATTCAGCCTGGTCTACACCACACAGCTATGAAGTGGCTTTTTCTGGCCAGTGACTCCCTACGTTTGGTCTTTTTCATATTTTTCTGCACACACATCACACCACATACTCCGGCATGAACTGGCTGTTGGTAACTACCCAGGAGAATGAAAGACAAGTCAGGAGGAGTCTGAGAAAGAGAAGAAAGACGTGTGCGACCATAATCGTCCGGAATCGAACCGCAACCTCTCGATTGGAAATCACACACACACACACACACACACACACACACACACACACACACACACACACACACACACACACACACACACACACACACACACACACACACACACACACACACTCACACACACACACACACACACCTCACCTCAGACATGCCCATCGCGAAAGTGTCCAGACCTCTGGTTTCAAAAAACCGTTAGGCCAGCATCAATACCACATAAAATCTGTGATCACTTTGTGCATAAAATTTTCGAAATTGGGCGTCTGTTATCCAATCGCTTAGAAATTTCCATGAGAAAAATTGCGTGAGCTGCCTGAGCAATATTCTGAAGAAATTTCTCAAACCAAATTTGAATTATTCGAAAACGTCTAGAGGTATATACTTTTGAAACGCACTATAATTGACCGCCACTAATTTTTAGCCTGGTATCCACCAAACAGATGATTGAGATGTTGGTTTGACGGTTGCGCAAACCGTAGTTAACCAGCACGCCACGGGCCGCGCCCCGCACGGGAATATTCCCGCTAGATGACTTTAGGTGACCTTACACACTCCGCCGTGCCGCCGTAGTCGACTTGCGCAAGCACGCACTCTTGCGGAGTTCCGCATTCGAGTCGAACTCGCGTACGACATCCCGCACGAGCCACCCTTCGTCTGGCGGATGCATCCGTAGACGGCTCTTCTACTGCTGGCTGGTGTAATTTTTGCCAGTTGTCTGTTTTGCTGTGAGAGCTCGCCACGCAATTTTGTTTCCCACCCTCCCACACCTAGCGGACGGAGGGGAGACATGGGCTCGGCCGATGGGCACGAAATCCGCATGGTGCACATCCATCGGCTGCCGCAGACAATACATTTTTAAAATCTAGTTGTGGGTACTACCGAGTACTTAGTGGTCATGCAGTTGCCATAGCAATGTACTGGTACACCCAGCCTTTATGATTGTTACATGACCCCATGGGTCATCTTTCAAACGCTCTTTCAAAGCCAATAGACGGCGTTATTTGTTCCTATCATACTATGTTTCAGATGGGCGGCCTTAGATGGCCCAGTCCGATCATTTCACGCGAACTATGTTATACGTCATCATGATCACAATAATCATGTCGTGCTCACGTTCAATATAAGCTTGCGACACCCCACTGGCTCATCTCTTCTGTGGTGTGAGGGTTAAGTGGCTTTTTCTGGCCAGCAAATCCCTATTTTTCATTATTATTAATATTTTTTTTACACACACACGCCACACCACATACTCCGGCATACACTGGCTGTTGGTAACCACCCAGGAGGATGAAAGAAGAGCTAGGAGAATGAGAAAGAGAAGAAAGATGTGTGCGATCATAATCGTCGGGAATCATTGAACCGGCAACCTCTCGATTGGAAATCGACTGCACATACCACTGCACCATATTGGACACACACACACACACACACACACACACACACACACACACACACACACACACACTTGTACTTCTTGCTCACTGCCAAAACTGGTCACGTGGGTCTCCCCGGGAGAGGGGAGAGAGACTCAAAAGGAATCTTGGAAAGATGACTCAATTGGCTATTGAACCGCCCAACGGCCGACACCCCCTGAAATCTCCAAAACTCTGGGTGGACTTGAAAATGATCCCACTTATGGGCTCACCACACCTCAGTAAGTGGGTGAGGACAAGGTGCAGAAAAAGGATTGACGGCATCAGGGTATCCGTCCCGGGATCCAACTGCAGTTACCCTTGCCCCCAGTGAAGGTAATACTTGCTACTAGTGTGGGTGGCTAAATCAGAGTGGATCTGATACAAGCTTCACTAGCACCATGATTACACAAGAGTTAATCTAGCCAGAAGTAGTCCATGGTTAACAGGTATACTTCAAATAGAAAGTGTATGAACCCTGAAACCAACAAAGGTGGTAGGTACAACATTACACCTTCAAGCAGCCGAGCCCGTTGGCAACAGACCCAACACTATCCGGCACAAGTTCCCAGGAATACAGAAGCTAGCAATGGTAGTCGTGGCTCTGCAATACAACTCACCGCTATCACCGGGAGATGAAAGCAGCTGCTAGGCGTTGAACAGCTGGATTATGTGATTACCAGAAACTCAGCTTGGCTAGTGATCCAGGTCACTCAAACATACAAGAGTTGACAATGCCTCATTCACTGCAGTGATCAGTTCCTTCCTTGCTACGCTGTCGCAACCTTTACATCTGGCGGTACAGTGTGTAAGATGCACACGTTTGTTGTGGTGTCTGAAAGAAGGAAATTTGAGAATAGAAGTCAGGTTTTAAAGTACTGATAATATTCAGAAGAGAATGTATCATGAATCATGGATGAGCAGCCTATGCTCATTCTTAGTCACTAACTACACTGTAATGGCTTTACATGTGTCTTTACTTAACACTCTACTATACTGATACAGGTTATCAACTTACACACAGTGTATAGTAGTAGACAGGGGCGTATGCAGGATCCGCAATGAGGGAACTGCTCCAACCCTTTCCCAAAGAACCCAATAAAGGACCATTCATGGACATGTGATGCATGGATGGTTGATATCTTGATTTTTAGTGCGCTATTTACCATGATGTACCAAGTCGAGGGGAAAGTGTAGTAGCTGTTCTGTAGGATGGAGCAACCATGAGGCCTTAAAGTACCCACTTAGCAATCACAAACATATCCCTCACTTTGGAGGACAAACTTTACTTCCTCTGCAAGCTAGATCCAAGAGAACACTAATTTTGCTAGATCATATCATGAAAACATTTTCAATTTGACTACTGCTCTTTTAAGGACTACAGGTAGTCTTCCTCTAATTCCAACCTCAAATTGCAAGGCCGCAACTTCGAATTATCCAGAACTTCTTATTATCCAAATACAGTCCCATGCACTGACATGATATGTATATCAAAATGCTCAAAATAATTGCATGCTGACTACTTTTGCACATTTTATTTGCATCAAGGAAAAATGGGTGGTCAGGTACAAGGAACTAGTTCATTTTATCAAAACACTGGATCGACACAAGGTCATTGCACATTTATCTTCATCTTCTACGAAGCTCTTAGTGAAGAATTTGTCAGTCACTGCAGCTGTGCTGAAACAATTTCAACGGAAAAGAACAGCACTGACTTCTCAGCGTCATGAAAGCCCGTTGGAGAGCAGAACGGCGTCGTTCTGAAGAAGTCTGAACGGAAGTGGAGCATAGGCAGACAATTCTTTTTTACGATTTCAAGTTGTTGTTCAGTCCCAAACATCGCTGTGCATGAGCTGGCACGGCACGCCAAGCCACTGAGATCCGCGAAGGGAACCAGACACCTGGAAGAAGTCGTCCTCAGTAAAATCTTTGCACTTTGTCTTGCACAGGCTTGAATCAAGTTTCGAGAGAAGGTGGGTTTCTTCAACGCTATTGTGGATCCTGGAGCGGACCAGGGATCAATTTTTGAGTCACTCTTGGCTAGAGAAGGAGGAAAAATGAACTTCGAATTACGAGTAGAGCAACTCCATTTCACTTCGAAATATGCGCTCGAAGGACCTAGCCACTGTACTGTGAACAGCTTTTCTGTAAGGAGAGTGAGTTCGAATTATCCAGCGGGCGCATTTTTCGTACTTCGAATTATGCATTCGAACTTGACTCGTGAGTTCCCCGCGTTTCGCGAACTTCGCATAAGTAGAGAAGAGACATGACAGCTCTCTCCACAGCGATGCCCGCAAAGGGCAACCCCGCGACTGGCGTCCCTGACAGCCAGTGTTGCCAGTGCACTGGCAGTTCCAAGTGTGGAAAAAACTGCTGTTGCCCAGAAGCTGGCAAGCTATGCGAGAATTGCGGGGCCGAGAACAGGGCAAGATGCCGAAATTCGCAAACCATCGCGGCTAGCGCCAGTCCCGTAGGCTTTCGAACCATACAATACATTCCAGCCGCCGCGTCCCCCCCCCCCAAACACGATACTAGCAGAGGGCTGACACTTTTCTGTTGGCAGAAATCAGAAGCTGTGTCTGAGGTGTTCAATGGCAGGGAGTCGAGGGGGCAGCGACCCTTTTCGAAGCCGTAACATTTTTAGGATTTCAAGGGCCCGAAACAACAAATTAGTACACTTTCGTGAACAATCGTTTCGGTCGCTTTGTCGGAACAACTGATCGGAGTGTTTCCGGAAAATCGGAATAGAACAAGTCGAGGCCCTGACGATATGGATAGCCCTCCGTCCTGGCACATTTAAGTACATGTAACACGGTTAACTATGATCAACTAGTGACAGCGAGTGGAAGGCAAAAAAATCAGACTAACGGTGGCAAAGTTATGATACTTTTAGTGGCATGGGTCAGGGGTGTAGGAAGCAGATTTCCAATGGTCCGGCGGATTTTTAGCTCTTTACAGGTCGCAATTTCTTTAATTTTTAACTCTGCTCAGTATGACTACTTTAGTATGGACTTTGTGTTGAAGGTTAGGCATGGGGAAGTTGCCATACAGGGGTGGTGAGACCGCCTATTGGCACCGGGAATACAGCTCACTCGACTCTGTCTCTACTGAATGAAGAGGGCGATTTTACTTGTAAAAGGATTG